CCAATTCCTACGGCCAGAAACCCAGAGAGTCTGTGTGAGATCAAGGCCTGGGAACTGAGGGACTGTCCTTCAGTCAAAAGGCAGGGCCCCCTGGGCTGGGAAGGGTGCATTCTGAGGCTGTGAGGCTGGGCAGCGATTGAGTTCCCTCCCCTTCCAGAACAAAATCTGATTTCTTCTCCAATGACCCAGAGGGACAGAAAACACTAATTGTTCAGCACCCAGTCCAGTCTCCAGTCTCGGCATCATCCCCGAGTTTTCCTTCCTGCTGTCCCCCAACAAAGAGCAGGGGGTTCCCAGTCATGCACAGTTCAATGGGGGAGCCGGGAAGGGTCTCACAGATCTTACGATTCAGAGCTTGGGTTTCTCCCACCCTTCACTGACCCCCCTGCAGGACACCGCTTCTTTTGGTGACACAGTTAGAACAGTCCCCTGCAGAAGACCCAGCCCAGCCTTTTCACTTCTCTGTCCCCTTCCTCCACAACCTCTGGAAGCACCTCCTGGTTTTGAAAAACCCCAGCTAATCTCAGTGAATTTCAGGGATTCCAAACTCCACATAGAGAAACTAACCCACATAATGAGTAAAACAGTCAAGACAGGGACAGCTTAACACTGCTTCCCCTCTCTGGTTCCCGCGAAGTTAAAACACTAAATTGTCCCTCATTTTCCCTCCTGTGCTGCTAATCTACTTCAAATCTTGTCTAATCCACGTCTTTCAAACCTGCCCAGTTTCTCTATCCCCAATGCCACGCTCCATCCCACCTCCCTCCACCCCCAAACCCAGGTCATGGTCATCTCAGGCCTGGAATACTGCAACACCCTCCCAATTGGTCTCTTCCATTCTCATAACCAGCCCCCTCTCCCCCTCCCTAATCTAATCTCCACACTGCAGCCAGAGTGATCCTCTAAAAATACTAAGATGGCCATGCCCCTCCTCCAACATACACCTGAAAACCCATATCAACAAGCTGTCTTCAGGATAAAAGCCACAGATCTTTCCTCTGGCCGGGCCCTGCCTCCCTCCTGCCCCACTTTGAGCTTTCCTCCCCTCGCCACACATACTTCCTTCAGTGCCTCAGGACTTTCAGAAACCCCTCACCCAGCCCCTTGCCTGGCTAACCCCTACTCATCCTTTAAGTCTTTAAACACCATTTCTCAGGGCAGCCATCATCAGCCCTAGGCCACATTCGGTCTCCTTGCAGTATGCTTCACAGCACTCTGACTTCCACTTTTTCGAGCTCCATCACACTTCCAATTACTTAATCTCCGTCTTTCCTACTTATCTGTAAGTTTCATGAGGAAAGAGCCTTATGCCTGGCTTGTTCATAGCTGGCTCCCCAATGCTTGGCACCAAGGCTGAACTGAACACAGAGCTACAGTAACAAGCACCTGGAATTTGGGACCGAGGTCAGGAAAAATGTCTCACTTGGACGGAAACAGCAAAGCAGCAATGGGAAAGGTCAGAGGCATCCTCTCAAAGAGGTGGTCCACCCACTTACTGCTAGAGAAGCTTGGGAAACCTCTGATCTAATCAAGCTACTAAGGCATAGCCTCAAGATCAAAAAATTCTAAAACAACCAAACTGTAAGGTCATCAATTGCACTTGAACGGCCTAAAATGATAAGGGACAATGGTCCGTAGAGGATCTAAAGGCATGGCAGTCAAAGAACAAGATTCAGCCCAAGTTCACCTCCACACAAGTGGCTGAGATTCTTTGGTGCTAAATGACCACCCTTGGTTCTTTGGAATGAGGTGACCCCAAGAAAGGATATAACAAGCATGGTCCCTGACACCAACTAACACATGGCAAACTAATTCTGTACTCCCCAAGCAGTGTTTTGATAAATAATTTGGTTATCTAAGGACATGCCCTCTAGGGGAAAGGTCTCTGAAGCAGCACGTAGCTAGGCTCCAGTTTCAAATTAGGAAATTGATGTTTCTTGCAATATCTCACACATTTAGGTGCCTGCCACCCCCAAGGAAGATGCCAGGTAGGAATGCTCCCAGCACAGATCTAGCAGGTTTTCCCACCAGTGCCTGCTCTTCTGCTTATTTTGTCAGCTGTCCAAGTAGGCTTCAGGGCTCTGGCTATGGAAGAAAACACAACAGCTCTATAGCCTTGACCTCTGCCTAGAGTACCCAAGAACACCTCCATAGACTGTCTGGCCAAAAACTCTGTGAGCAAAGTTGAACAGAAACTTGTACCTGCAAGGATAAGTCCCCGCCCCTCCTTCAACAGACCCAGCACAAAAATCAACCACAACCCTACTCTAGGGGTGAGAAAGCTCTGGCAACCTTCTTGAGGTTATCTGAGGCCAGAAAATGACACAGACCTTGAGGAGAAAGCCCTGTTTCTGAGTGTCCAACACATGGCCCAAGGCTCATATGCTCCACCTGATTCAGAGACGTGTCTCACCTGGGAGCTTCTTTTTAGGCACACCCCCTCTCCCAACACCATCTTCCAAAGAAGCCAGCACAGTGAAACACTGGGCCAGTTCTCCACACAGGAGCCAGGATAAATTCATTAAAACATAAGTCAAAATGTTGGCAAGGATAGGAAGCAACTGGAACTCTCAGGCCTTGCTGGTGGGAACGCAAAAACAGCAAAACCACTTTAGAAAACGCTTTGGCAGCTTCTCATAAAGTTAAACATCAATTATCCTGTAACCCAGTAATTCGACACCTAGGCACTTACCCAAGAAAAATGAAAACAAATACGCACAAAAATACTTGAACATGAATGTTCAGTCATAATAAGCAAAACATGGAAACAATCCAAAAGTCGCTGAACAGGAGAATGGAGACACAAATTGTGGTACGTCCATACAATGGCAACTGCTCAGCAATACAAAGGCAGTCCTGATACACACCACAACGCAATGAATCTCAAAAACCATTTACAGGATCTAGGCCAGGCAAAACGAACCTATGGGAAAGAAATCAGAGTAGTCGTTGCCTCTAGACAGGGGTGGGGACAGTGGGGGTGAAGGAGAAGTAGCACAAGGAAGCTTCTGTTCTGTACTAGAAGGGTATGGTTAGACAGCCATATGCACTTGCCAAAATTCATCAGACTATATAGCACTTAAGATCCACGCACTTCACCGTATGTCAATTAAATATCAATAAAAGTCAATGTTTAAAAAAATCATAAATTAGTACATCATTACTCTGCTCAACACATTTCAATGTCTCCCCATTTGTTCATTCAATAAATACTAAGTACTGACTCTATGCCACACGCTATTCTGGTCACCAAGGGTAAGGAGAGAACAAAGAAACCAAATTCTCCACCACCAGGGGGTTTACAGTCCAAGGGGAAGATAATTAAGTACTTTACATGGTTAGAATATGTGCTATGAAGAAAATTCAGAGATGGACAATAGGAAAGATACTACAGAGGAAACATGGGGCAGGCGGTGGGGTGGGAGGGGTTATTCGATTTTTTTTTTCAGCTGCTGCAGAAAGCTTTATTGTTTTGTCATTTTAAACAGGGTAGAAAGCAAGGCCTTACTAAGCAGCTGACATTTGAGCAAATGGGTGGAGATTAGAAAGCAAATCATACACACAGATGGGGGAAGAGCATCCTCAACAGCCAGGAGGGTTGCTGGCTGGAGCACGGTGAGGAGGAGGGCAGGCCAGAGAGTTGGGGGAGGGGTGTGCAGATAATGCCAGGCCCTGGGGGTCATTATAAAGACTCTGGCCTTTACTCTGAATGAGATGGGAGCCACTGGAGACTTTGAAGCAGAGGACTGACGTAGCTACAGGATCACTCTGGCTGTGGATTTGGGAACACCCTGAAAGGGACAAGGGTGGATGCACAGGGGTCCTTAAAGAACCAGCTGCAATAATCGAGGGAGATGACAGTGGTAGCGGTGGGAGGTGATGAGGAGTGGTCAGGTCCCAGATGCATTTTAGTAGAGTCAACAGGACTTGCTGACGGTCTGGATGTGAGATGTGAGAAAGCAGAGTCACGGAGGATGCCCGTGATTTTCAGGCTGAAGAACCAGAAGCATGAAGTCACCATGGAGTGAGATGCAGAAAGCAGAGGGTAGAGCAGATTTCTTTGTGGAGGAGAACAGGAATTTGGTCCAGACATGTTAAGCTTGAGAAGCCTGTGAGACCTCTAAGAGAGGGTTGAGTAAAAGGTTAGATATGAGTTTGGAGTGTAGTGGTCCAGAGGTAGAAATCTGAGAGCCACCAGCTTAACCGACGGCAACAGAAGCCATGAAACTAGCTAAAATCCCCAAGGGAGTAGATGGAGCTAGAAGAGGTCCAAGGATGAGGCTTGGAAGCTGGGAGTGAGGAGGAATCAGCAGAGACTGAGGCCCTGTAAGACCAGCATGGTCCAGCCCCTGCCTCCCTCGACAGCTGCATCTCATCCTCCCTCTTGATCACATTGGCCTTTCGGCAGATCCTAAAAGATGCCAAGCCCCCTCCCCACATCCCTCACTGTTCCATCAGCCCTGGAGGATGCAGCACCCAAATGAGACTCCAATTCTGCCCCACGGCTGGCTCCTCATCCTTCAAGTTTTAGTTTAAGTGTCACCTCCACCATCACCTTACACATTCTATTTCAGCACCCTGTCAATTTCCTCCATTGAACTTTTTACAACTGGCAGCCAGGACAGTCGTCTCTTGGTTTTTTCCTTTCTCCTCTAGATGCTCCATCACAGTTCCCTTCACCTTCCTTCTCCTCTCCCCACCTCGTATGGTCGGAGTGGCCCAGGGCTCGGTCCCCATCCCACTCACGTCTCTCAACACTCCCTCGTCGGGGATCTCATTTAGGTGTACAACCTTATCTATGTGTCATGACTCCCTAGTATCTCTGCCTCCAGCTCAGACCTCTTCTCTAAACTCAGGACTCATATCGAACTACCAATTTGACATCTCCACTTGGAGATCCACTACATTAAGATGTCCAAAGTCAATTTCCCAATTTTTCCTCCACAAACCTATCTTCACCCTTCTCTCACTTGACATCAACTCCCATTATCCCAGCTGCTCAGGCCAAAACCATAGAGTTATGTGTCATTCTTCTGTTTCTCTCCTGCCTCACATTCCATCTACCAGCAAATCCTGTCTACCTGCAAAATATATCTGGAATCTGACTACTTCAAAGTTTCCCTCCCCACTACTCTCACTCTGATCCAAGCCGTCAGACATCTCTCGCCTGGTTTGCTCAACAGCTGCCTCCAGAGTGTTCCTGCTGCTGCCCTTGCCCTCTTTATCCATTCTCAGTACCAAAGCCAAAGTGATTCTTTTAAAACACTAAGGCCTAAATAATCTTTGTGCCACCCTGCCCTCCCCAAACGTACTTCTCTTACTTTACCTCCTATTACTCTCTCCCTCATTCATACCCTGGACTCTGTGCTGTTTCTCAAACTTTTCATGGACACTCCTGCCTTAAGGCCTTTGGCAATCGCCATTCCATGATGCTCTTTCTCCAGACAGCTGCTTAGCCAATCTCACCCGTCACCTCCTACACTCTTTGATCAAACATTAACCTTTTTGATGAGACCTATGCTGATCAAACTACTTAATGTACTCAGCTCTGTCCTCCTCCTTGCTCTATTTACTTTCTGTTCATACATTGTAATCAGAGTACAAACTTCTCCTGGCTTACCAGGAGATCTCCCGGTTTCCAAAACTCCCACATCTCAGGAACACCCTCAGTGTTGAGCAAACCAGGATGCTGATCACCGTAACTATAATTTACTATTTTTATTTTCTGTCTCTCCTCACAATATATAAAATAACTTTCACAAGGGCAGGGACTTGACTGCTGTGCCGACGTAGAACAGAGCCTGGCTCGTAAAAAGTGCCCAGTCAGTGGGGCTTAACCACCTGCCCATCACTACCTTAAATTAGCCAACTGCAAGGAGTCTCCTAGCAGACTGGCTGAAAGTACTTAGGTGTACAATTTGAGCTTTTCAAATTTAATTCCACTAAAATTTGAAACTGTGGTATTATAAGGTATGACCAACAAGTGGAAACAAGACACAAAAATTTCCATACATATGAGTTATCCCTAACATCCATAAGGCAAGCCGGGATGTTTTGCAAAAAATCCACATGACCCACACATTACAGATTTCACATAGAGTGGCCTAATTCAGAAAATAATCTTTGACACCTCTCTACTAGCCCTAGAACTCCTATGCAAACCGCAATTTCCAGTACATGCAACTAAGACCTGCAGCACAGGGAACAGGCAAACTCTTACCTCCTGTGTAGAGAAAGGAGCCAGACAGACCTCCGAAGTAGATGAGAGCTAAGTGCTCCAGTTTCAGAGTGGACAGGTAGTAGAGGCAAGCAGCACAGACACAGCCCAAGGTGTAGAGGAAGACTCCAAACCGGACAACATCCTGGGGCTCCAAGATTCGGTCCACCAGGGTCCTGTCATCGCTCTTTTTGTGGTCAATGCCCTTGGAAAAGTCGTAGTAAGTGTTGACCAAATTGCCAGCCCCATGCACGGCGAGGACAGCTACGGCACAACCCACCAACAGCCTGGGATCCAGCACGCCCTGGGATCTGTAGGCCAGGGCACTGCCCAGCGCCACCGGGGTGAGTGAGGCACTGAAGCTCCAGGGCCGAAGGGCCAGAACGTAGGAGGCGCACTTCTGCCTCCAGGAGCGCTGGGTGGATCTGTGCTGCTCCGGACAGCCGTTCCCCAGCAGGTCCCTGTCCCCGACCTTGGCCGTCTCTCCTGCGTGGATGTTAATCTTCTCCCCCGGGACCTGCGAGGCCGCCATGAAGGCTGCACGTGGGTGAAGTCAGTGTTAACAGTGAGCCACCCACTGAACAGCGTCGGCGCCGGGACGAGGTGGGACGGGGCGGGGCGGCGGACCTGACCTTCGGTTCCACCCGGGGTCAGGGATGGGGAGGCGGCGGAGCTCGAGGACTGCAGCGAGAGGACCTGCCGCCCCACGGGGTCCCGCGGCACCGCCCCGACCTTCTGTCGCCTGGGCGAGGCCAGTCTCCAGACCTCAGCC